GCGCACAGGAATCAGACGCTGCCTTGGGAGTCAAGGGCGATTCTAACGGACGTTGGGGAATACAGTTCCTCAAGATGAGTAGTATGGGAGTGCCAATGTAGTGTTATTTTGTGGTCTACTTGTCCTTTAACTTTCCTGCGGTTGATCCTGACAGTATCGTCTGATGCTATGGATTTTAAGATCTTTAGTACCACTCCTCCGTCACTTCGTGTAGGTATGATGCTCTCGTGACTAAGTTCCAAGCTTTGGCCGCTGCTCATAATAAGCTGCAGACTGAATACTCTGCATTGGAGATAGAGGTAGAAGAGTGCTGGGTTGACATAACCATAAATACCCTTCAGATCACTCACCGTGATTCTAAGATAGAGCAGCTCACGAAGAAGTATCGGGCTATGGAGTCAAGGTAGGTCTAGGTACACGTTGCTAGGGGTTACAGGAAGCGAGCGGCTGAGTTGAGACTTGTTATTATGGTTGTTCAGGTACGAGACAGTGCTGCATCAGTCACAGCTGGCTTCCTCCGACTTCACTATTCTCTTGAACCAAAATCTTGAACTCAAGCAGGCTCTCGAGGAAAAGATTGAAAAGACTGGTTTTGGTAGGGCCTGATGGTTACATGATTGGATCGTATTCAGCGCATTGTCTTCAGATGAGGAGGAGGCGGTGACGTCTCTACCGTTGGGGCCTCATCGGTTGGAGGAAACGGAACCGGTGGATCAGCATAGTAGGGAGCATCCACAATCCGGAGGTAGTGTTCGAGGCATACCCGATGCTTGTCGACATCTACGTCAGCTCGTTCAATACCGAAGTCATTCCGGGGCCTCACTAAGATGCTCAAGGGAAGCAAAAAGAAGTCGTCCCCATCAGGTAATTTCGGGGGGGTCGTCGCTCTATGTTATGACCTCTTACTCAGGCTCGACGGTTGTGGAAGTGAGTATTGGTGAGAGCCCAGATTCCCACACACATCCTAGCGACTCGTCGTCCTTGGCTGAGGAGCATACTACTACGACTGCTAAGAAGCATCATCGTCATTCAGACGCTGAGGCGGGAAGTAAGAACGGAGTATATGGTGTTGATGGATATGACTTGTCGTTCCAATCTGAAGACGCATTTCTCTGTGTGAAGCTCCATAATGCACCTCATTTGCCTTGCACGTTGCTGACTATGACATCTCGTTGTTGTCTCAGGTGCACTGTCGGGTAAAGGGGAGCCCTAGTTGCTGTATATCTGAGGGAGTTGCCTTCTACTGTGTAAGTCGCCTATTATATTATCTGTCGAGATGCCCCCTTTAACACCA